ATGCTATGGAAAGCGAAGTTAGACGTTTTGTTTCCCCAGGTATTACAGGATTCCAAAGGTAGGGTGAGCGACCCCGCTTAACTTTCTGTAGACTGTGCGCCGTGTCATATGGGAACGGTGGTTTTAGCCTGTCGGACAGTAAGCTGACGAAACGCAAGAGAACGCAGAAATTGCTTTGATTTCTGAAGAAAGTTCTATCGTACGTTTTCGTATGGCAACGGAGACGAGCGCGTCAATTAAAATATAAACCAAAAAGCAAATCTTCCAAAATAACGGAGTTCGCGTAATGGTTTGAGGCCATGGGGAGCAAGTGTTGTTGGCAGTGTAATGTCTTTACAAGTGAGGCCGGGGAATGCAAGGCGACGAGGTCACGTAATTATATGCTAATGAAAAGCTATTGGGAATGTGAGGTTGTACTTTGAGTGCTTGACAAATAGTTGCCCAAACTCCTAAGCACAACCCATAACGTTAACCCCTAACCCTAATCCTCAACCCTAACCATAACCCATAACCTTATCCCTAACCCCAATTCCAACAGCATTGTGTATATAAGGTGCGGCTGCATGATCACATTTTAGCGAAATTTGAATGAGAAGTATATCATACATTTGGTGGTGTTATTTGCGTTTATTGAAAAAAATTGACTGAGGAGGGCTTCATTTCAGGCCAGTTTTATCAAAGGAAAATAGGCCATAGTTGGGCAAAATCTAAATTTTATTGATATCTAGATAATTTTCTACGCTATGGAAGCTGGCAAATCAACACCTTATGCTAATGCGCATTGTGCTTTAAATGAAAATAGATATAAACAGGAAAAGTACGAAATAAATCCCGTCTGGAAACAGAAGATTCGATCTTACTTCCGTGAAAATCAGGTGAGGGTGGGCATGAGAAATCGCAATGTTTTAAAGAAAAAAGGAGGTGAATTTGGCCCATAAAATTGCTTTTTGTAAATTTATGGCGTTTCAAGCCATAAAACATAGTAATAAATCTGTTTGACAGCAGTTTTTTGCCAAACCGAGAACTAATAGGCGTAAACATATGTATATATATTAAGCACGCGCAACATGCTGTTATTTTTGTGTCATATTGTGCGACAAAAATGTCAGACAATGTGTTTCAGCAGTTGACAAGAAAAGGATACGAATTTTGGCAGTGGAAAGGTTGTTGCATGAGTCGTTAGCAGGTACTGTCGATATTAGTAAGGTTAATCTCTGGCGAATACTTAATGATAGAACAGTACCCAGAAATAAGCAAGGAAGACCCAAACGATCCATCAGTAGGCAAGATTACAATTTCATTCGTCGTACCCTAAAAATATCATTATGTGCTCGTTATGAACATTCACAGGAAACATCTGTCGATGTTCTCTATGAGGAGGATGCAGAAATTTAAATTTCATCAACAAAATGTCGTGATCAAGCCGTTATAAGAGAATGCTTTTATTTGCTAATATACTGGTTACCGATTGTCATTCTGAAAGAGCATTTACCTCTGCAATGAGGTCTCATTTTAAGTAGGCCTATGAAGTCGACCCCGATGATCATATGCGGAAAGAACATCCCCAAAAAGCACACTACGCCGACGGCGACCTTCAAGAACTGTCAACGGTTAATGGTTTGGGTGGCGATTCAATTTGAAGAGCGGCCAGTCTGACGGTCGACTACAGACACCATCAACAGCAGTTTGCTCGCCAACACTATGAAGAATGTTTTCGATCACAGCGTCATTCACAAACGAGACTGCATGCCATAATTTTACACGGCAATGCTCCTGTCTATCGTTTAAAAAAAGTATGAATCTAATATCCCCTTCAACCGTAATCTAACTTCTTAGACAACAACCAGCCTCTCTGCATATGATCTCAGGTCAATTTTTATCCCTGCCAACAGTCCGAATCTGAATTCTATCAAAAATCATTTCATACTTATCAAAAGACATTGACACAAGACGGATAAGAGGATTTCCATGCAAGAAGAGCTGGATTGTGTATCAGATAATCACGTTGAAGAATCCCCTCCGAGCAACCTAACCATCTTCATGTCTGAAAGGCTTTCTGGCCTGATAGATGAAAATGGACAATCAACAAAATGCTGGCCTTTTGTACTTGCTATCATTTTTCATTATTTTCCCTATTTCATGCGTCTACGTTCATTCTGCACCCTTATAGTTTACCCTATTCAAACGGTCTGAAATTCTAGTTTTCAGTGAAAACCAATTATTTTACGTTAGTAAATTCTAGTTTATAAACGCATCTGTCTTCTTTTTAAGAACAGGTGTTTTTTCACTGCCATGAAACTTTGGAGAAGGGCGTTTGGGCGGGTTTTGCTTTATAGGGATTTTTTTGTGCTAACTCATGACATTTCATAAGTTAGCACTTCTATTGTATATGACATCTTATTAGCACAGAGAAATGCATGAGTTCCCTTAAATGGAAAGCATGCAGCCAGTGGGGTGCAAACGCGACTGCTGCAGTATGTCGGGCATGGGCGTCTTTTAAAAATCTAAATATGTCGTTTTGGGTTAAAACTTGAAGACTGATTTTCTTCCTGTTGCTCAAAAGGAAGGATGTCTCCGATTTTGTCTTTTATGAAATATTTTTAAATTTAAAGGACATCGAAAGCAAATGCATTCAAAAAACCCCATCCTGGTGTGACTTAACTATCTTGAGATTATGCCGCAAGGTACTCAGTAATACAGCGTCACGTACGTAGTCCTGTCCAATAGCAAACGCATTCGGGAAGTTCGATTAACATTTCATGTGATTACCCACTGACTGTACTTGCTGAAAGCAAATGTTGAAAGGTTGTTCACTTATATTGTGACCAAAAACCTCTTGTTACCATTGGAAGCTCTACGAGTTTGAAACACCAGTCCCAAATCTTGGAATTCATGTCAGCTAGTCAAAGTGCAAGTAACATCGGTGTTGAAGCTTAGAGTAACCTTACAAAGTTTTCTCCGGATTAAGGTAGAAACGTCACCGTTTGTGAGTAAATGCAGGCCTTTTTGGCCGGCAAAAACGACAAAAAAACGGATTTTATTTTCTATTTCATAGCGTCTACTTCTATCATCTTTCACTTGGCATGCTTTCACTACTCGGGCTTCTTTGGTGAAAAGATTGCTCAATTTTAGTAATGAAGGGGTTACTTCCTTTTTAATGCGTCAAATGGCTAGTGCTTCCATGATTTATAAATTCTCCAAACAACCGATAAATGGAATGGTAAATACGAAGGTCAAACATGCGCAATCGAGTCATTTCAATGATCAAACGGATGTCCAACGCATGCACGTTATAAATTAATCTGCCTGCCGTCACAGACTGCGCCATGTTCGGATGGCAGCAGACCTGGTATGAGTGCTACTCCTCTTGTCCTTCCTACTTCGTTGCAAACTATACATTAATGTAAATTATTTATTGCGGAAGGCAGAGCGTCATAAGCCTTCGGGCTAATTGTGGCCGCAAGGAGACCGTTAATGGGCAAGCTTTGATGTTCCAATTTTGCTCACAATATGCCGACAATAGATCACCAAGGATCTGACTCGCCACTAACCACCAGCATCTTCGAAGTCAGTCTGATAATTCCGCTGGTTTTAGATGCCTCGATTGAGAATGTCTAATGATTTTCTTATTTATTATCACTCAGAAATACTGGGGTGCGCACCTATTAACTCGTCCTTTGGCTTGTCCAGAATTCAGTCATAGGTCAGAGTTTCGAGATTTGACAGTACTGCCGACAGTGAAGATCTGGGTGTCGAAGCCGGATTTTCCAAACAGGACAGCGTCGTTGACACACCAACTGCCGCAATAAAAACGGCTTCCGCGTACGTTGACACCGCCACAATTGCGCCCTGCTGTGGCATAAACTGAGCTCTTCAGCTGGCTGAAGCGCAGATCTGGTCAGTTTGGCAAGCCTGCGGGTTAAAAAAGCACCCAATGAAGGCTTGAAAGTGGCCCACAAAGGAGGATCAGCCGCGCCGTCTAACCAAGTGAGGGACCGTTTTTCGATAATGATCAATGAATTCTGTTGGTGCTTCTTACAGTAACAACGGCGGGACCCACTCCAACCTTCAATGCGTACTTTTAGACAAACATCACTGTCGCTCGGCCCTAACTGACTACGTCATCCGTTGATTCGGAAGCACTGCACGTCACGCGATAAGTATAAAAAGCCCTGAACGATTGTCACTCTTTGAGTTTGCCTTTGCAGTGATCTAGGCGAGCAAAAATAGCCGTAGCTTTAGTCTTTAGTAAGTGCAATTCATGCCCCATGAAGAAGGAGAGGCGCTGTCGCTTCTCACCAAGTTCGTGCCACTATAGAGAAGGTAGCTGATAACTTATCTTTATTGAGACTTCTATGCGACGAGATTTTTTGGTAGTGGGTCTCCAAATTTGGGATATTGCCTCCGGGCTTGACGGCAGTTGGCGATAAAACGGACTAAAGAAATAATAAGAGGAAAATCCGCGATTTAAAGAAGGGACACTCGCAATCAGCCATTGGCGCTTTAATTAATCCCGGTGGGGTGTCGGTAATTTGAGCTCGAGTCGGTTTGTCGTCGAAAGTTGATTAACTTTGTGATCTGAAATCCCGATTTCGTGTTCTGTAAGCTGCGACCGGGAGTACATCATGCAACACCTACGATCCGTCCTGACTGCAAAACAGAAACGGACATCAGCAGTAGTAAAAATGCGATTCCCAGGTGGAATATCAAAAGAAGAGGAGGCGTTCACCAGAGGGGGGGGGTTTACAAGAGGTCTGACGTTTGGAGTAGTTACTTCGTCAATCATCCTCAGAAACTGGGCAGTTCTGCGCACAGCTTTCATTATTCATAGATGTACCCCTCCGACCAATCATTTCACTCTGAGGCACACCCACATAGAGCTTGCAAATTGGCTATTTCAGCAGTTAAGATTCCTAACCGCGGACTCACAAACAACAGTGCACACCGCGGAACATTTCCTTGACAAAATAAGGGCGGCCACGATCGAAACGAATGAGAGGATGGTGTCATTTGATGTCGTCTCACTCTTCACGTCCATACCACGGGCCCTTGCGGTCGAAACGCTCAGCGACCTGCTACAACAGAATTACGATGAGGGTGATGGGTTCACGGTTCAGGATCTCATAGAACTCATGTGGCACTGTCTCAAGACATTCTCCACCTATGAAGAGGCCACATACGAGCGAATTAAGGGCACTCAGAAGGGTTCACCAATCTCCGGGCCTATTGCCGAGGCGCTTCTGCAAAAACTTGAGGACTGTTCGAGAAGTACAAAGCAAATTTTGGGCACGCCACGTTGATGACACCTTTGTAATCATCGATCGGGATGAAGGTAACTACTAGGGGGAGCCACCGAACTCAACCATTCCCGATCTACAGTTCACGATGGAAGCGGAACTGGAGGACGAACTTCCATTCTTGGATGTTCTCGTTTGCCGCCAACCAGACGACAACTTGGCGACGTCGGTCTACAGAAAACGACGAACACGCTGCATATGATCAGTTGCAACAACAGCCATCCACTGTAACACAAAAAAACTATGTACGCACGCTATGCCGACGGGTATTAACTCATTGCAGTACTCCAGCCACCGAACTCGATGAGATGAAGCCCCGCCAAGAGTTCTTCAGAGCCAACGGCTACCCACGAACATTCGTTGAACGGAACCGAAGGCAACCAAAGGGGCAAAACGGAGACCACAGTCAGCCAAAATTGTGGCGGAGCATTCCGTACATTAAAGGGGTTTCCGAAGCCGGGATTAAATCCCTCGCGCTACTCGGAATAGGTGTTGCCCACAGGCCCGACTCAGCAATCTGCCGGCAAGTGATGCGGCAGGAGATGTCGACCGTTGTCTACCAACTTCAGTACAGCTGTGGGATGTGCAACCACGTTGGGGAAACCGGCCAACAACTGCAAACGCGAATACACGTGCGTAAGTTATCCGTGCGAAGGTTGGACCCAAAGTTGGAGGTAGCCACCCATGCCGCGCAAATGGAACACATCTTCAACTTTGAGGCCGTTGAGATTGTGGACCGGGGACATGATCATACGGACCGACTGCTCTGTCAACCGCCACAGCAAATTGACTCTCCCTATCTGACTTTACACGCCTTCTTAACGAGGGACAGTCACGGCGCGTGACAATCCGGACCGTCAACTATCGCCGCGGCCGACGAGGGCGGGGACGATTCAGGTCACGGTGACATGCGGGTTGGATGCAGCCACACAGACGGCATTGGCGGGCCGCATCAGACAAACTGTGCCGTATAAGGAGATCTGTGCGCATGACTTTCCATTCTCTGAAGATGGGTAGACGAAGTAACTACTTGAAACGCCAAACCCCTAATAAACTCCTCCTGGTGAACGCCTCCTCTTCTTTTGAGAAACGGACATGCTAGTTTTGGTCAGGGGGACTAAGTGTCTATCGACCAGCGGGGAAATCACATAGCAATTAGTAATTTAGTAACTAGGTGGGTGTAGCCGGTGAAAATAGACCACTCGTATTTTAGGTGGCTCTGTGAGAAATTCAAGGGAAGTTTAGAGTTATGGTTGGGATCAAACTAAGGACACGGGGATAGGTACTCCCTTGAAATTCAGCCCAGGACAATCCGTGGAAACGGGATCCACATTTCTGTATCTGACGACCAGATATGAATAAAGCACATCATACGTTAACCTGCCTATTCGCATTTGTCTTTGCAGAAAACGACTGTTTGCAAATTAAATGCGTCCTTCGCAGCCTGCGTTCCAGTGGTTCAACAGCCAGCAAGTTATACACAGATTCCTCGAGAACTTAACCAGAACAGATTTGGATCACCGCGTTTACTGAAGAAACGCCGGATTCACTTTAACATTCGCTCGACTATTCATCTAAAATATCGTATTTGTGAGGGTGTATTTGTTTCAGAACTAATGAACGACTGGCGCTCGATCAATTGTTTAATGAGGGCCAGGAAATCCTGCTACAGGCTGGGTAAAATGAATTGGGCGCAAATTCTTCTCAGCTGTGAATTTATTACTGACCACTGGTTATCATCTTTCGAAGTCCACTCTTTTTCCTAACTAAGATGTTCTGCCTACATACCAATTATGGACTCCTGAAAAGTCCTACATTCGTCTTTTCGACTCTCTGCTGCTACCAGAAATTCTACCATAAAAGTAATGGAAGTCAAGCTCAACTAGCACAGTCATTTCAATGTTGGCATATGATTAGTTGTCGGTTGGCATTGGAATCTGGCCCTCTTCAAGTGCATAAAATTCAAGTACTGTGATTGGTCGATCGACAGATTTACACTCGAATTGATCCCAAAATCCTGATTGGTCTGGAAATCAACTACATAGATTGTCGATTTGAACTCGATATGATTTATTCCGTCGTTGGGACAAATAAATCATTGAAAAAATATCTTCTTTTCTGACCAAGATCATGTGCACAGAAAAGCCGGTTTCAGTCGACTGGCATAAAAAAGCCAGTTCCGGATCGGATCCGAGAAGAAGATAATCGATGTGCTATGGCTAAATTAATTAAATCGGAGGCACGGGACAGTCAGCTACAGATCCTCAGCACAAACAAAGGCAACAATCGGGCGAAGGACCCCAAACACACGCACGACCAACCAAAGGTGCCTGTCTTACGGGAAAAGGTGGTAATAGGAGTTTTACGGGCGGGGCCTACGTATGCATAGAGGAAGGAAGAAACAAGCATAGGTAATTGGTAAATTCGGTTTTCGGACGGAAATGTTCTAATGCATAGACATATAACAACCGAAATTAAGCAGGACAGTTAAAAAAATAAAATGTCTACAGCGATCACTTCTCGACTCTCTGAGCAGAGGTCACTGCAGATAATGCACCAGACAGTCTACAACAGACGATCCAACCATTTACGATGAAACACAAAACCAAAACAATCGTGTCGGCCTAAAAACCACTTAAATAAGTATAGTAGGAATTCTTTGTATGTCACAGATGCTTGGGGGCCCTCACCCGATCCGTCAGCCCCCAGGTAGCCACTTATCAAAAGTGAATTGGTTACATTCTGAGCATTCTCCTCGGTCAAGGGAAGTTTGGTTGACACCGCATCCTTGCATCACCTAATGGAGCACAAAGACTAAGAAGTGGTCCGGACGAACAATTTGCCGAAGAATGGGGCAGTAATGCGCTCTAGGTTGCAGTGGTCGTTGCTCTAGTGAAGTATGGGGAGGGGGAATTGGACCACTAAATGTTTGTTCAGTGAAACATCAACTGGGAGCTGAGGAGATGTCCAGGCGGCAGTCTGCAGGAGAAAATGCGGAAAATGAGCAGGAAAAAATCCAATTCACAGATTAAGAAAACAGTGTGACAAACATACTGGCGACAGTCAATTTTGTGATCCAGATGGAATTGCTGACCATCCCTACTTCACCTCTTCAAGGAGAGGTCGGCATGACTTTTCAAATCCTTTTTTTTTTATAAACGTTGAATTCTTTCTGCATGACTTACTATACCGACCGCACAGACGCGGACTAAAAGCCCAAACACGCATGTTTTGCTGATATTCTGTCGTTGCATGACATAGCTGCGAGAGGTTCGGTCCATCAGTGGGCATGCCAGCGTCCCCCGCGTTCTTTCTGGTAGATACTTCAGTATGTTATTACCGACAAAGACAAGGGGCACCGGAATGGCCATTTCTGGCTTATTAGCCGACGTCAGCCAGTCATACCTAGCCCCGGATTTTGGAACACCCGATGCTCGAACTCGAGACCTGTTAGTTAAAGTCCAATACCTCTAATCACTGGGCCACAAGCCCGTTGCCCTGTCGGTTTCGATCGGGAATGTATAATGCTAGAGGGGCGCTTACCGATCGTTTCTACGGAATTCATTCGTTCCCTTGTGCCTAACGGGCTCTCTCTTGAGCCCAACCAGCAGCCGCACAGCGGCGCATGATATAGGCAGTCGATAATAACATACTGCCTATATCATGCGCCGCTGTGCGGCTGCTGGTTGGGCTCGAGAGAGAGAGCCCGTAAAGCACAACGGGACGAGTGAGTTCTGTAAGATACTTCAGTCCCGAAATTACTTGACGCTTTACAGACCCAGTCAGTATGATAAATGGTGCAACAGCTTAGGAATGTTAGATGGTTATTCCGCTAAAGCGGATGAATTTTGGGTAGCGGTCGGTTACGCTGTCCCGGTTCCAAGTGTGAGCGCAGTCTGGGCATTGAAAGTAAAGTAAGCCAAATAAGGATGCTGAAATGCTTAGTGGGAAAGTGGCCAAAGCTAAAATGGAAAGGGGCAATCTGATGTATCGGTTTTGAGGTAGAGTAAGTGTCAGGCTGAGAGTTGAGTTTGAATTTTGTGTCAAGTTTATGGTGTTCCTGTTAGAGTTGGGGTTTAGATTGTGGTTTCTGTTTACGTTAAGTGTTAAGGTTGAGGTAAGGGTTGATGACGAGGTAGGCTAACGATTAACGTTTGGCTTAGGGTTAGGCTTATGGTTTGTATTAGATTTATGGCTAGGCTTAGTGTTAAGTTTAGGGTTAGCGTTAGGTTTACCGTTAGGTTTGGGGTATAATTGCTTCGCGTGTCTTGTCGGCTAGGTCTTTTGCGGGGATTCTAGGTTTCCTTCACTATCGCTGCAGATTTGTCAAACATCAGGTTTTCTTTTCCGTTTTAGCCTTAACTACTTTCCTCTTGAACGATTTCAGTATCCTCCTTCCAATACCCACATTGCGCTTGCACTTGGAACCACGACAGCATAACCGACTCTTGCCCCCCCCCCAGGGTTGAGCGCAATATAAAGACACCAGCTATATGCCGCCATGCGAAGCCAACCTCTACGCAACGCTTACGTATGCACCCATACAAACAAATAAAATGCCGTAGTCGGCGCAGTCCTGCCGATCGACCGGCGCATGATGCGTGCTCAAGTAACGTCCTTGAACCGACTGCACGACCTTCGCAAAGTGCAAAGGGAGGGCACTCCCCTCTGACCTACCTTATCTCTCAAAAGCACTTCAAACTAGAGACTAACGAAACGGTGGTTTTGATACGTTAGCTATCTGGCTGCGATCCCTGGCGCCTCAACCAGCTTTCCAGTGCCAGTCTTTGCGAAGTTTCAGGGGTAAATCCCATTTTCAGCGGGATCACTTACTTTGTTTCACTTTACTTTTCCCGGACATAAAATTTACGATGAAGGAGGGTGAGAACAACCAGCTGGCCTTCCTGGATGTCCTCGTATGCCGCGAAGATCGTGATAGACTTAAGACCAAATTGTTCAGGAAATCGACAAATACGATGCAAGTAGTGAACTTCAACAGCAAC